TTTATACACAAGACACTGAATAGGAGGTCTGTCAAGAGGAATGTATTCTCTGTTCCTCTTAATCTCTAAGGGAGAGACACAGCAGAAGGACAAGTTCTCAGTACAGCATATCTCAGTAAATAGTTACAGACTTCTTGGTAAGCTATGAAAGGCTGTTCTCATTCTACAAAGGTTGCTCTCATTCTACTGATAACCGCCATCCAAACAAGTCTGGGAAAACTGTGTGGGTAAGGGTCCCAGCCTTGCTAGCCCCTTCAGGTGCAAGGACCTTGCCAGTTTACATCTGGCCCCCAACACTTGCTTATTTTGTTTACTAACTTTATTAATATCTGAGAAAAAGCATTAAAGTCTCTAGGTCCATGTGTGGACTTGTCTGTTTCTCCTTTTAGATCTGTCCGTTTTTCCTGCATGTGCTTTGAATTTCTGCTGTTTGGTGCACACACATTTAAGATGGTTATGTCTTCTTCCAAATGCATTCTTTTGTTTTCATGTGACATCATTTTTACCCCCTGGTAACTTTCTTTGCTCTGAAGTCTAGTTAAGCTGATGTTAATACAGATACTCTAACTTTCCTTTAAATTAATGTTCAGACAAAGAAATATATTGTCTGTATCCTTTTAATCTACCTATATCATTATATTTGAAATATGTTTATTGTATAGGAAATATAGTTGGGTCATTTCAAAAAATCCATTCTAATAATAGTAGTCTTTTGAATACTATGTTTACACATTTTACATTTAATGTAATTATCGATATGTTTGAAATTATATCTACTAGTTCATTGTTTGATTTCTTATATCCTCAGGTTTTTTTTTTTTGTTCCCCTATTTTCTGTTTCCTTCCTCCTTCTGGGACATTGGAGCATTGTTATTGCTTCATTTTAATTTATCTATATTGTAACAATATTTTTATCTGTCTTAGTGCTTACCTAAGGGATTAAAATATTATTACTTACAAGAGGCCTGGTGCAAAAAATTCATGCATGAGGGGGGGGAGGGGTTCCTTCAGCCCAGCCTGCACCCTCTCTAATCAGGGACCCCTTGGAGGATATCTGACTGCTGGTTTAGGCCCTATCCCTATAACCAGCAGTTGGACATCCTTCTCGCATCCTGGGACCGCTGGCTCCTAACCACTCACCTTCCTGTCTGCCTGATCACTCCTAATCACTCTGCCTACCTGCCTGATCGCCTCTAACTTCTCTGCCTGCTTGATTGCCCCTAACTGCTCTCCCCTGCTGGCCTGGTCACCCCAACTGCCTCTGCCTTGGCCCCCACCACCATGGCTTTGTCTGTAAGGGAGTCAGACATCCAGAAGATGGCCGGTTGATCCAGTCTAATTAGTATATTACCCTTTTATTAGTATAAGTAGATTATATAGGATAGGATTGCTTAAATGGGGGGGGGGACCTTTTTCAGCAGGAGGAGATGCTCTTAGCAGACAAAAATACATAACCCCTATATCTAGCCTAATAGCCAGCCATATGCACTATACTGACAAACCAGTCATTAAAAAAATTGAATTGCTTTCTTACACCTTACACCAAATAGCTGTTACCCTAAAAACCCCTCCTCAGTCCCCACCTTAGGCTCTGCCTTCTCAGTTCACCCAGATTAGGTTCTGATTGGTCAGTTTCTATGCCAGTCAGCATCAAAAGCTCCGCCTCCTAGGCAGCTATTGGCTCCTCGCAGTTCACCTAGATTTGGTTCTGATTGGTTGGTTTCTATGCCAGTTAGCATCTCCAGGCCTATCACCAGGCCTCTCTCTGTGCCTGATCTTCAGCCTCCACAGCAGCTGCTGATCAGGCTTGACCTCTCTCTCTCTCTCTCTCTCCAGGCTTCGCCAGCAGCCATGGCAGCTGCTGATCAGGCCTCGCTAGCAGCTGTGGTGGCTGTGGATCAGGCACTGCCTTTCTCTCTGAGCCTGATCCACAGCTGCCTCAGCAGCAGTGAGGTTGTTAGGGCTCTAGCCTGGCCCCAGGCCAGAGGCTAGCAAACTTGCCGTGCCTGCCTTGCTCTGCCCCGTGCAACCCCCCCCCCCTCCACCCCTTCTGCGCGCCTGCTGCCAGCCTTGCTCTGATAGGAGCCTGTGGGCTGCGGAGGAGGGACCGAGAGGTGCTCCATGCACTTCCTGGTGACCAGTCATCCATCTGGTCGTTTAGGTCGTGGGCCCCTGACCTTCTATAATGTAGATGTTTTCACTTTCTACTTAGAATTAATATTTTACCACAGCAAGTGTTATGCAGATACCTTACTCAATTTATGTTTTTAAAATATATATAGTTTCATTGATTTTAGAGAGAGAGGAAGGGAGAGGGAGAGAGAGAAATGTCACCAAGAGAAACATTGATCGGCTGCCTCCTGCATATCCCTTCCTGGGGTTCAAGCCCACACAGGAATTGAACTGGTGACCTCTTGGCACGTGTGGCAATGCTCAGCTCCCTGAGCCATGCCAACCAGGGCCAATCTATGTTTTCTCACCCTCCCTCCTTTGTAGTATAGTTGACTCATATTATTACATCTACCTACATTGAAAATCCATCAGAAAATCTTATAATTTTTTGCTTTCAGTGGATTATATTATGAATGTTTTAAATATTATGTTATATAGCCCGGGCCAGTAGTTCAGTTGGTTGGCATGTCACCCTGGTGTGCCACGGATGCAGGCTGGGTCCCCAGTCAGGGCAAGAATCAACCAATAAGTTGATATATAAATAAGTGGAACAATAGATCTCTCTCTCTCTCTTTCCTTCTTCCTTCTCTTTAAAAAAATCAATAAATACACTTTAAAAAAATCAATAAATCAATAAATACAATAGATCTCTCTCTCTCTCTTTCCTTCTTCCTTCTCTTTAAAAAAATCAATAAATACACTTTCATAAATAATAAATATTATGTTACACAGCTCTGGATCTGGCTAAAATCCTGTGAAGAATAGTGGTGTTTTTTTTTAAAAAAGTAGGCAGGTGAGCCAATTGAGTCAAGCCCCAAATTTAAGCCAGCCTGGGCGGTTTCAGTCAGTCCTGTTTTACTGTATTTTAGTTCTACTTAGACCAGGCCCAGTATGCCCCCTGCCTTGGCCAGTCTGGAGCTCAGGAAGAGGTCTGTTTCAGAGTTCAATCCTCAGTTTATCATGTTCTGCTTAGTGCTGGGCTCCTGCAGATGCAGCAGAGGCGTGAGCCCAGGAGTTTGGAAGCAACCTTACTGGTTTGCTTTCCTGAGCTCCCCTTTGTCTGCCATGTCCACGGTACTTTCCAGCTCCATAAGCTGCCCACCCTCCTCTTCAGATTTCTTGGCCAGTGTGTTGTGCATGCTTATATACCCCACTCTGAAGGGCGCTTTCCACATTTGTTTCCATCTCCACAGCCAAGTGATAAGAGGACACAGAAAAAAACCAGTAGAGATTTGTCACCTTCTCTTGGGACCCCAGTGCCTCGAATCACAGTGAACATGCCCTTCCGCACAGGTGTGGGCTCTGGAGGCCCTTCTGCTGCTGTTCTGGTGGCACAGCTGCCACCAGCGCAGAACTGTACAGGGGCTGGGAAGCGAAGGCACGGAGAGTAAAGAGTGCGCGTCAGGAAAGCTGTCTTCGGTCTTCACGGCGGGATCGGAGGCTCCGGAGCGCCTCGGTATCACCGATGTCCACTTCTGTGCTCAGACTGAGAAAATGAACACGGGGAACTTTGAATTCTTGGCTTCTCCAATCTGCTTGCTTCCATTTACTTTTCAGAATGATCAAGCTGTTTTCTATGCATTTTCCAGGTTTTATAGCTATAATTACTGGGAGAGAGAAGGTGGTGTATGCTTACTCCATCTTACCTGCACCTGTGACCTGGAAATAATACAGACAGTAAATACAGGCATTAAAACTCAGAGAGACCAGGAAAGCTGTGAGATCTGCTTGCCCTGAGATGCCACCCAGGGCCCCGCCGAGTGCTCTGCGGGGTGTCAGAGCCAGGGCGGTTGCAATCCCCTGGGCCATGGAGATTATACTTGGACCTGTATGTGTTAGACCCAAATCATTTCTTCTTCATAAATATACAAATCAGAGGCTCAGTTCGAGTTTCTGTTAAGCTCAGAACAGAACTCTGGACCACGGGATGGATTAATTACAGCAATATTTATTTTAGAATAAAGTAAAGCTGGATAGACTGGCCAAAGGGGCTGTGAGTCCTAGCTCCCAGGGCATTCGTGGCAGGAAAAGCAGCGATCTGGCTGTCCCTGGACCACGAAGTCACAACGCGAGTGCGGGTTCTTCCCCAGCGTGACCCTGCAATGAGCCTTCCCACAAGAAACTTCCTGCAGGAATAATTCCTACCCTCTAACTCGTCTTTAACTTTACTGCTGGGATTCCCAACAAGGATGCTCCTTGGTGCCAAAGCCACAGTGGCTGCTATGATGTGGGCGACTCATGAAGGAGCTCCAGAGCGCTTTGCAGCTCCGTTCGGTGGCCCTGACAGTGATGTTCAGTTGCTCCAAACTCGGATTCCACTTATACCGTGGATGTGACAGCACACGCGCATGGTGACACAGCACACGCGCATGAGTGACACAGCACACGCGCATGGTGACACAGCACACGCGCATGAGTGACACAGCACACGCGCATGGTGACACAGCACATGTGAATGAGTGACACAGCACACGCGCATGAGTGACACAGCACATGTGAATGAGTGACACAGCACACGCGCATGAGTGACACAGCACATGTGAATGAGTGACACAGCACACGCGCATGAGTGACACAGCACACACGCATGGTGACACAGCACATGTGAATGAGTGACACAGCACACACGCATGGTGACACAGCACACACACATGGTGACACAGCACACGCACATGAGTGACACAGCACATGCGCATGAGTGACACAGCACATGCGCATGAGTGACACAGCACACGCACATGAGTGACACAGCACACACGCATGAGTGACACAGCACACATGCATGGTGACACAGCACATGCGCATGAGTGACACAGCACACGTGCATGAGTGACACAGCACATGTGAATGAGTCCAGAAGTTGCTCTTCTTTGTCACTCAAATGGATCAACCCACCCCCTCAGGGTTGAGAGGGCTTTATGTTCATGCGGGATTAGAGCACTATTTGAACTCTCAGAAGGAAAACAAATACATGAGAATGAAATTCTTGTCTGCGGGGAACAGCTGCTCGGTCCTCCAGCAAAGCACCTGTGACCAGCAGGCCTTGCCCTGGGGTCGGCAGGCCAGGAAGCATGTACAAGAAGCATCCGCCTCAGGGGGGAATGGCTTAGACAGAAGCTCTGCCCAGTCCAGCCTTGCTGTCCTTTGATGTGTAGAAGCTTGTTTCTCAGGCTTGTATCTTGGCTGCTGACTCTTGCCACCGTCTTTCCACTTTGTGTGTAGCTGTGAGTTCATTCATTGCTCCAACCATTATGGCCCAGATGGTCCCTCCTTCCACTGGCCCAGAGTAAGGTTCTATACTTCAGGTCGGTCCTGCCCTAAGGCCAACGGCAAGGAGAAGCTGAAAATACCCCTCCTCTGCTCCCAGGCCTGTGTCCTGGTGAGGTGCTCAGCCAGCTCATCTGCCAGAGGGGACCGTGCCCACAGGACGAGAGTACAGGCTAACGTGGCTCCTGTTCCCCATCCGGCCTTCAAACTCGCTTTCTGTGCTCGAGAGCTAGTGGGTGAACATGGAGCAAGAATTACCTTCTTTACAGAGAAATATTTGACAAAGTTAAAATTGCTTGTTTCTAATGAAATAATATTTATTTTATTGCGAATATATATATATAAATGTATATGTACAATACAGAGTAGACATGATAGTCCATAGCCACCAGTAAAAGTGGATGCATTTGCTAATGCTGGTGACCACTAAGAAAGCCGTGGGAGTGTGCTGAGCATCTGCAGTGGCTGGAGAATCCCCTCTCCCTCTGTCCAGTCCGAGAGACCAGAGGCCCAGCCCCAGGGCCGTCCCAGGGGGCCGAGCACCGTCCGGCCCGATCCGGCTGTGTGCCCTGCCTGGCAGTCTCTCTGCTCACCAGGCCCAGGTCGCCAGCGCCTCGGCTGGGAGCTCCTCCCAGGGGCCTCTGTCTTACTGTCTTCCCAGCGAGAAAGCCCTTGAGATAACCCTGAGATGGCCCCAGGGGAGCCCCATGGGGTTTTTCATGGGCATGTGGTAGCGCATGCAAGTCCAGAACCTGGAATTGGGAGGTGCCGACTTGAGGCCTCTCCAAGTGACTATGGGCAAAACCCGGAGAGCCTTCCTCACCAGGTCAGGTAGGGATTCTGGCTCTTGGAAGGGACAGAACTTGACTAAGATGAGCTTCAGCGTCTGATCATCCAAGGCAAGACTCACTGCTGCTTGCAGTTCAAAGACACTGGGTCCGTTGACATAGTTGGGGCTTAAGATGAAGACTCCTCTTCTACTTTTCTTGATAATGCTCACAATGTCTTCCGTGTACACTGGGAAGAAAGGATTTAATTAATTGCACTCTTATTGCTAAACCTGGAGTCACAATAACCCTGGTTCCCCCAGACCTACCCAGAGGTTCCCTTCCAGGCAGAGCGGACTGCTCCACTAACCTCACCAGCTACCGCCGCCCTATCCACAGCGGGGATACACCCTACTGCCCAGCGCCTCAACCTGCAGTTCTCCCCGCATGCTGTCTCCTCAAAGGCCACTCCTTTAGGAGCAAAGCTTGTGGAACAGGGGGCGGGATCAGGAGCACAGGCCGTCCAGCCCCTTGGTAGATCTGAATGGAGAAGGCAGAGGCCTGGGCCAGGCTCCAGTAGCCCGTGGCCGGTGCTGCGTTGGTGGCTGGCAGTGTCCCCCATGGCAGGGGCCACCCAGTGGGAAGAACAGGGTCATCCTGTGAGGTGCCAGGGAAGCTTTGTCTTCTCCCCTGGGATGGAGGCTCACGTGATAGACACGTGGCTGCCCAGGTGTCTTAAGCTCACAGCCCTCCCAGCGGGGACAGCCCCAGTGGCGAGGGGACAGATTGGCACTGACCGCCCCTTTGAGCTATCACATCTCGGGCGGGCCGGGCCTACCTCCTCCCGGAGCCACGTCTCTTTCAAGCAAACACAAGGTATAGCCATATTTGTTTTCCAAAACCTCGGGGAACAGCTTCAAGGCCAGGCAGTCCTCACTCACGGGCGAGGCGGGCTCACTCTCAGAGGCGCTCCCCTTGGCGTAGGAGATGAAAGCATCAAACTCCTTTTTATCTGGAGAGAGGATGATAGCAGTGTAAGCCACGCACACCTACCTGTGCTCCAAACATATGGCAAATGGGTGTGAAGCAGGGTGTGGGGTCATCACTGAATTGATGACAAAAAATAAAAGCAGCAGCCAGTCCATTTCAAACCCCACTGGGCATGTGCCCTTGTCGGCCCAGGAGTCGTGTGGGTTCACTTTCCGAAGCTCCGGGCCTCTGCTGGTGGCCACGTGGGCCCCGCGCGCCACGTCCTGCTTGGGAGGAGCCCCGCGGCCAAAGCCCCGCGGCCGCTGGCAGGTCGCAGGAGGTAGCGGATCGGAAAGCTGGTGCCTGGCCTTTGGCAGCACGGATCAGCGCCCGTCCTCCTCCTCCAGGGGCTCTGCAGCTCTGGCACTTGTCCCAGGACAGGTCTAGGTCTCCAGTGCTTCCGTTGACAAAGGATTTCAAATGCACATTCATGACTGGGCCACGCTAACCAACTACCTGGAGTGGCAGGAAATCTCCAGGTGAACCCCGGGCTCGGGGTCGGACACACAGGTGCTCTGCACGGGCCGGCGGTCACAGCTACAGGGTAGCCACAGCCCCGGTGCCCTGCGGACCTAGGGGCCTCTGGGGAGGAAAGAGGAGCAGGCCTGGAGTCAGGGGCGGGCACCACGCAGCCAGGCGGGGAGCTGCTCCAGGCAGCCAGTCCCCCAGGCGGAGCAGGACGCTCAGGTGTGGCCGGCAGGCACTGCTGCGCAGTTTCATGTGGAACATGCCACAGTTGTCCCAGCTCCTCCCAAGTCCAGCAAACTAGGGCTTTTCTATAATCAGGAAACATTATGGATCTTGGGTAATAAAACTAGAGCGCGGAAGAGTTAGATAACCTGTTAGACATTCACAATGCGACATTCTAAGCTTCCGTGTATCATCACCAGCATGAAGGAAACATTTTGCTGGAAAGCCCCGGGTTGGCCAGAGCGGGCACTGACTGGCTGTGCCCAGCCCGTCCTGCCCACACCAGGCTCCTGACGTGTCCGTGGCAGTGAGAGGAGTGTGGTCACAGCGAAGGCTCCCGCCCACCGTACAAGCTGCAGAACCGCAGGACAAGCAGATTTTAGCAGAAGCTGAAGTTGTCAGAGAAACAAGACTATGACCAGATATTGGCTTAATTCAAGAAGGCTGACCTTCGTTTTAAATGAATCTCAGCAGCCCGCTTGCCTAAGGGTTTCTAGTGCGTGTCTCAGTGAATGGTCTCAGGGAAGGTGACGGGAGCTTTTCACTTACGGCTCCTGGAGACCTGACAGCCCTCATGGGTGGCTGGTGTGGGGAAGCACTGTGGGGGCTCCTGCCAGGTGAGAGCTGGCCTGGGGTGTGAGGAGCTCCCGACAGGTAAGGGCTGGCTCGGGTGTGGGGGCTCCTGCCAGGTAAGAGCTGGCCTGGAGTATGGGGGCTCCTGCCAGGTAAGGGCTGGCCCGGGGTGTGGGGGGGCTTCCCACAGGTAAGGGCTTAAGGGCTGGCCTGGAGGCCAGCAGAGGGCTGTGCTCTCTCCAAGCAACAGAGCTATTTGCTAAAACTACAAACATTCTAACCCTGGGCCCAGGGACCAGAGAACACGGAAGCGGCCCTCTGTTCGGGGGTGGACGGCACTTGGCCGACAGCACAGGGCCTGCAGCTCACACAACGTCACACCCGGGGACGTTCCCTCCACCTTCAGGCCCCTGGCTGTACAGGTGAGGCTGACGAGGCCACACTAAGGGGCCCGCCCAAGCTCCGCCCTTGCCGAGCAGTGCGGTGGGCAAGACTGTCTGGCTGGGGGGTTGCCGGGCCGGCTTCGGCTTCCCCGCAAGGTAGCAGCGCAGGGGCTGCTCTAAGGGCCGCAGCTGTGCTTGCTTGCCCCACCGCCTGCGGCCTCAGGCGGGGAACCAACCATAGTTGCAGGGCCGGGTCCCGCACCGAGTTCGAGGTCAGCAGGAGACCGTGTCAGGTCCCACCTGTGTGAGCCTCATGGCGAACACCCCGCTGGAGTGAGGAGCCCTGCGCCCTGCGCCTCCAGGTGCAGCCGCCCTGGCGGCTCGGCGGGCAGGTTGGCGTCAGGCACACCCGTTTCTGGGCTCCTGTGCCTGAGCCAGTCCCCAGAGGGACAGTCACAGAGCGGGCGGCCCTTACCCCCGAGCGTCTCGTCCTTGTCCTGGCAGGTCCGGCACAGCAGCACCACCTCAATCCAGTACGCGAAGAGCAGCACGCCTGCTGCCAGCGCGCCCGCCAGGGCGGCCACGGTGCCCAGGAGGACGTACAGGAACACCACTGGGGACGGGAGGGGCAGGAACAGAATAGATTGGGGACCAGCTACAAGGGTAAGAACTATGGCTCCTGCTCTGTTAACCTGTTAACCGGGGCGGTTCTGTTCTGCTCAGAGCAGCTCCTGGCTGGGAGCTGCACGCCTGGGGCACGGAGCTCACATGGGATCACAGTCCGTCCTCTTCCGAGAACTGCGTGTCACTATGGAAAGATTTACAACCTCCTGGCACCTGGGCCCGGAGGCACTTTGTCCCAGAGGCACCTGCTCTTTGCAACCCCAGCCCCTGTCACCTGTAATCTGGTCCCAGGGCGCCCGGAGGCACCCACCCTCCGTGACCGACCCCCCTCAGCCCGCATGACTTGTGACCTGTAAGATTATCCCGTGCCCACTCCCCCCTGCCTGCAATTCCTACTTCCCCACAGAACCGTGTCCTACCCAATGTAAGCCGCCGGCTTATGGGGCAGAGCAGGTGTGTGTGGGTGACCGACCGGCTGCTCTCCCTGCTGCTGGCAGGATTGGAATAAAGGCTCAGCTAGGATTCTACCCTGTCTCTGCAAATGACTCAAGTAGTGACCGGCCGTCGGACCCCTTGGTTGTCTGGTTACAGGGACACAGCGCTGTGAGCCAGTGCAGAGCGCCCGCCGCTGCGCCCACCCACAGCGTCTCCACCCTGTTATCCCAGCAGCATGGCCACCACGGGAGCTTCCTCTTAAAGGCTGAGATGCATCAGCCACACCTGGAGGGAGGTCCTATACTGAGTGGGGAGAACTGGGAAGGGACAGGTGCTGGGCAGGGCGCCTGGGAAGTGATGGGAGCCACTGTTACTTATTTCCCGCGGGAACTGCCCCCAGGGCTCTGCACCCTCTCACTGCAAACCAGTTTCAGGTACAGTCATCCCCACTGAAACCTACACTCCCTGCGGCCAGGAGGTGCTTCTGGCACACCCTCGGTGCACCTAGCGTAGGAGACACCCCTTTATATAGTGCCCACGGGCCAGAGCCAAAGGCTGTCTTATTGAAATCCCGTGAGCAGCCAGTCTGCTGTTCTAGAATCATTATTAACTGAATGAATGAATGATATCGCTTTCATCTCTGAGCTTCGTCTCAAAAGAATTAAAAAGCGATTTCTCACTGGAATACCCATCCAGCTTTAAAGGGCTGTGGTCTGTGATATACACATATCCCCCGGACACTGAGCAGAAGCACTTTCTCCCCCCTCCAGGCTCCAATACCTGACCATCACGTTTCCTGGATTCAGAAGTCAGGAAAGGAAAATGAGAGAGGGACGAGGTTCTAGCATAAGGCCTTCGCATGGAGCTCGCATAGGTGTTTGTGGAATGAGTGGGAGTATGAATGATGGGCTGTTCCGACACAGCCCCATGCGCCCAGTATCGGTTAAGGCGACCAGGTCTGGATCACTGATAGGAAACTTACTAGTGTGTGGTCTTGGTCAGAGTTTTGAGTTAAGCAGCGAAGTGCACAGAAGGCTGTCTACCAGCGTCGTCTTGCTGCTCTCACCACAGCACTATTGCTAGGAATAGCCTGGCCCGGGGGAAGGCAGCTGTGCCCGGCCTACCTCCCTTCCTCCCCCTCAGCTGGAGGGGCTGCGTGCTGTTCCCCAGCGAGTTCTGGGCGAAGCAGATGAACGTCTTGTGCAGGTCGCTCTGGGTGACTCTCTCCAAGTGGACGGTGCGCTGGATGACTTCCGCCTCCACGGTGGGTTTCACGCTAGGAGAGGAGGAGACATCACAGCTGCCCAGGACGTACAACGACACCCATTCGCCGTCTCGGGACCATGCGATCGCCAGCATCGGCCTCTGCAGAGCTGGGGCAACCAGCAGGAGGTGCCCTGCTTCACGCGGCCAGGAGGCTCGGGTTTAAATGATGAATCTGCTAAGCATCGTCCAGAGTGCTGACTCTCAGGTATGATTCGCCTGTGGGCCTCAGCTGGCCTTGCTCACTCTAAGCCTTTCCCTGAAAAGATGCTAACAAGAATTTATGAACATCTACGACTTCCGTGGACGGCTTACTCTGTATCAGGCCGTCCTAGCACAAACGGGGGTTACGGATCCCTCCACACTGCATCTCACAGGAAGCCCACAGGTGTGGCATGAGTGTCCTAACTTGGCTAGCAATGCAGATCAGGCACAGAAGGCGAGCCCATGTTCACGCAGCCAGAGGTGGGACCTGATTCCTGGCCTGTGCCCTTGCCCATCCAGGACCAGCCAGGAATGGGGGTCTTTATTTCCTCACAATGTGGATTCTCTAAGGTTGCCAATCTTGCCTCTGTCCTCACCCTAAGGAATCTTGTTTTCACGAGTGATATTGTAGGTAGTGTTGCTTGGAGACGTCAGCACCGACGCTTCCCCACAGAGCGCTTCTTGCTGCCGGAGACTGCTGAGGTCTCACCTGCCCGTCCGCCCCTCACAGGGGCTGGCAGGGGCTGCAAGGGGCACCGTGGCGCTCCCACACTCACACTGCCCATGGGTGGGAAACACCCACACAGAGGGCGTGTGAGGTCAGAGCACACCCTCTCTCATACTCAACTCCCTTGAGCTTAGATGCAGTATCAGCTTAATAGGGGACCCAATGACTTTCCTTGTGTTAGAAGTTCTTGCTAAATCTGATTACTTTTCCAAAAACCTGTCCTTCGTTATATTTGTTTATTGAAATGTTTTATAAATCAGAGGCGTGCTAACCCACAGACTGGTGCTGTGGAACAGATCTTAGAAAGACGAGGAACTATATCTTTTAGCGCCAAGCCCTGTAGATTGGCCCCAAGCCCTAATCTCCAGGGGCCTGTGTCCAGCTCTGTGAGGAGCTGGATAGATGTGAATGGCTAGAGATTTCCATTTTATGAAGCAAAACTGTCTTCCCAGTTCATTCTGGCCACTAATTCAGGTCTGTGCTCTTGAGAGCAACAAAGTCTAGAAAACAGAGTAGCTTCCAAGCATTTCAAGACAGACCGCCGCTCAGGCTCCCTTCCCAGGCTGCACTGCTGCCCTGTCCTCACTTCACGTAAGTTTTGGTCAGATCCCTTGGTCCTGCAGCGTTTCCTCATTTCGTACTTTCTGGCTGTAATGACTCTGGAGACCTGGGTACGCTGAGTGGGCACCGGGGAACGGGGGGGGGGGGGGGGGGGGGGCAGCGCTGGGGGATAGCATCCCCCCATTTGTCGGACACGCTGCTTCTGTTCCAGCAGCCTGGGCCACTGTCTGTCCCCTTGTCTACGTGATGTTTAAAGCAGCCACAGCAAACTGTTGCTAAACATTGAACTTGAAAGCCACTTAAATACTTCACTCCATGGGCCTGCCCGAAGCCGCATTTGGCCCAGGGTTAAAGTTAATGTGCACTTTGACTTTCATTTTCACCACTAGCTGGCGCTCCTGGCACACTGTCAAGTGTGTGTGTGTGTGTGTGTGTGTGTGTGCTCACGCGTGCGTGCGCATGTGTGTGTGCATGCGTCTGTGCGTGCGTGTGCATGTGTGTATGTGCGTGTGTGTGTGTGTGTGTGTGTGTGTGTGTGTGTACACCTCCGTGTGCACATCGCAGAGGTTTCCGAAGATGAGAGCACGCATTGTGGGCTGCAAAGAATATTGTCCTCTGATGCTCTCCTTACCTTCCCCCTTCCTTTGTTGGGATTTCCAACTCCTGACCAGAATCTTTGCTGTACCATCTCAGCACCGGTTTGAAGTGCTCTTCAAAGCCAAATCGTGCCGTGCAGTTAAGAGTCAAAGGTTTTCCTGCAAAGGAAGGGGCCACAGTAGGTAGGAGGGCAGTGAGGACACTGTCCGGCGCAGCAAGAGACCTGCGGACATGGCTCCCTGCCCTCAGGCTGCAGGCACAGCGGCCGGGAAGAGCCGCCCGCCCGCCTGCCTGCCCGCCCACCTCTAGGCAGAAACATGCACACAGCTGCGCATCTGCAGTGGCAATGCTGAGATCGCAAACATGGGCTATGATTTTTGTTGTTTGTTGTTATTGTTATGAAAGAATGTTTCTATCAATTAAAAGATTTTGTATTATAAATGTGTAATAAAGTATCAGCTATTTTTTAAAATTTTTTATTGATTAAGGTATTACAAATGTGTCTTTATCCCCCATTGTTCCCTCATCCCCCCAATCTTGCCCTCACCCTCACCCCCTGTTGTCTGCATCCATTGCTTATGCTTATATGCATGCATACAAGTCCTTTGGTTGATCTCTTCCCCTTACCCCCACCCTCCCCTGCCTTCCCTCTGAGGTTTGAGCATCTAATCGATGCTTCTCTGTCTCTGGGTCTGTTTTTGTTCATCTGTTTATGTTGTTCATTATAGTCCACAAATGAGTGAGATCCTGTGATCTTTATCTTTCTCTGACTGATTTATTCGCTTAGCATAATGCTCTCCAGCTCCATCCATGCTGTTGCAAATGGTAGGAGTTCCTTCCTTTTTACTGTGGTGTAGTATTCTATTGTGTAGATGTACCACAGTTTTTCATCCACTCATCTGCTGATGGGCACTTAGGCTGTTTCCAGATCTTAGCTATTGTAAATTGTGCTGCTATGAACATAGGGATGCATATATCCTTTCTGATTGGTGTTTCTGGTTTCTTGGGATATATTCTTAGAAATGAGATCAAATGGAAGTTCCATTTGATGTATCATCAAATGGAAGTTCCATTTTTAGTTTTTTGAGGAAACTCCATACTGTTCTCCACAGTGGCTGCACCAGTCTGCATTCCCACCAGCAGTGCACGAGGGTTCCTTTTTCTCCACATCCTCACCAGCATTTGTCATTTGTTGATTTGTTGATGATAGCCATTCTGACAGGTGTGAGAGATACCTCATTGTCATTTTAATTTGCATCTCTCAGATGATTAATGACTTTGAGCATGTTTTCATGTCTCTTGGCCTTCCTTATGTCTTCTTTTGAAAAGTATCTATTTAGATGTGTTGCCCATTTTGTGATTGGGTTGTTTGTCTTCCTTTTGTTAAATTGTATGAGTTCCCTGTAAATGTTGGAGATTAAACCCTTATCGGAGAGAACATTGGTAAATATGTTCTCCCATGCAGTGGGTTTTCTTGTTTTGTTGATGATTTCTTTTGCTATGCAGAAGCTTTTTATTTTGATGTAGTCCCATTTGTTTATTTTCCCTTTAGTTTCCATTGCCCTAGAAGCTGTGTCGGTGAAGAAATTGCTTCAGCATATATCTGAGATCTTGTTGCCTGTGGATTCCTCTAATATTTTTATGGTTTCCCGTCTGACGTTTAAGTCTTTTATCCATTTTGAGTTTATTTTTGTGTATGGTGTAAGTTGGTGGTCTAGTTTCATTTCTTTGCATGTGTCTGACCAAGTTTCCCAGCACCATTTATTGAAGAGACTGTCTTGACTCCATTGTATGTTCATGCCTCCTTTGTCAAATATTAATTTGAGCATAGTGGTTTGAGTCGATTTCTGGGTTCTCTATTCTATTCCATTGCTCTATATGTCTGTTCTTGTGCCAGGACCAGGCAGTTTTGAGAACAGTGGCTTTGTAAGATGTACGTAGAGCTTGGGAAGTATGTCTCAGCGCTGCGGCTGATGCAGTGGTGTGAGCACACTCCACCATAACATGCTTCCTCGGAACACCAGAAAGTAGCAACGCCCGCCTGAATGAACTCCTAGAGCCACGTGCACAGTACCCCAGCCTTTCAGCCATTGGTCACCTGTAGCAATGTGTCTCCCTCTGATTGGTCCCCTCATGCTATATATACCCTGTAGTTCCACAATAAAACAGATCTGGGTCACTGAACCTGGTCTCCGGAGTCATGCATGCAGATGCCCTAGCGCGTTGGGGCTCCGTCGTCCTCACCCCCGTGGGACCCCCTGCTTCAGTAATACAGCTTGATATCTGGTATTGAGATCCCTCCTACTTTGTTCTTCTTTCTCAGGATCGCTGCAGCTATTCGTGTTTTTTTGTTTTTGTTTTTTTTTTATTCCAGATGAATTTTTGGAGAGTTCTTTCTAGATCTGTGAAATAAACTGTTGGTATTTTACTGGGGAGTGCATTGCATTTATAGATTGCTTTGGGAAGTATGAACATTTTAATGATGTTGATTCTACCAATCCATGAACACGGTATGTTCTTCCATCTGCTTATGTCTTCCTCTAACTCTTTTTTCAATGGCCTGTAGTTTTCCAAGTACAGGTCTTTTACCTCCTTAGTTAAGTTTATTCCTAGGTAGCTTAATTATTTTTGTGCAATGGTAAATGGGATTGTTTTTGTAATTTCTCTTTCTGTAAGTTCACTATTGGTGTATAAAAAATGCCATAGATTTCTTGGCATTAATTTTGTATCCTGCTACATTGCTGAATTTGTTTATTAAGTCTAATAAATTTTTTGATGGAGTCTTTAGGGTTTTCTATGTACAGTATCATGTCATCTGCGAATAATGACAATTTTACTTCTTCTTTTCCAATTTGGATGCCTTTTCTTTCTTCTTCTTGTTTGATTGCTATGGCTAGTACTTCTAGTACTATGTTGAACAGGAGTGGTGAAAACGGGCATCCCTGCCTTGTTCCTGTTCTTAAGGGAAATGGTTTTAGTTTTTGACCATTGAGTATGATGTTGGCTGTAGCTTTGTCATATAAGGCTTTTATTATGTTGAAGTATGATCCTTCTATTCCCACTTTGTTGAGCGTTTTTATCAGAAAAGGGTGTTGGACTTTGCCAAATGCCTTTTCTGCATCAAGTGATATGATTATATGGTTTTTGTCTCTCAATTTGTTTATGTGATGTACCATGTTTATTGATTTGCAGATATTGTACCAGTCTTGCATCCCTGGAATAAATCCCACTCGGTCATGGTGTATGATCTTTCTAATGTAATGCTGGATCCAGTTTGCTAGGATTTTGTTGAGGATTTTAATATCTATGTTTATCAGGGATATTGGCCCGTAGTTCTTTCTTTGTGGTATCTTTATCTGGTTTGGGGATTAGGGTAATGCTGACTTCATAGAAAGAGCTTGGAAGTATGCCTACCTCTTGAATTTTTTGGAATAGTCTGAGAAGGATTGATTTTAGGTCTTCTTTGAATGTTTGGTAAAACTCCCCTGTGAGGCCATCTGGTCCAGGGCTTTTGTTTGCTAGAAGCTTTTTGATTACTGTTTCAATTTCATCAGTAGTTATCAGCCTATTCGGTTTTTTTGATTCTTCCTGATCGAGTTTTGGAAGCTTGTATTTTTCTAGGAATGTGTCCATTTCATCGAGGTTGTCCAGTTTTTTGGAGTATAGTTGTTCGTAGTATTTTTTTTTTTTTTTTTTTTTACAATCCTTTGTATATCAGTAGGGTCAGTTGTTATTTCACCTCTTTTACTTGTGATTTTGTTTATTTGGGTTCTCTCTCTTTGTTTTTTGGTGAGCCTGGCGAGAGGTTCATCAATCTTGTTTATCCTTTCAAAGTACAAGCTCTTGGTTTCATTGATCTTTTGTATTGTTGTTTTGTGTTTGTTTGTTTTTTTATCTTTATGTCATTTATTTCTGCTCTGATCTTTATTATTTCCTTCCTTCTGGATACTGTGGGCTTTTCTTATTGCTCTCTTTCTAATTCTTTAAGTTGCAAGGTTAGATAATTTGTTACCAGTTTTTCTTGTTTTTTGAGGAAGGCCTGTAGAGCTATGAACTTTCCTCTCAAGACTGCTTTCACTGTGTCCCATAGATTTTGGATTGTTGTGTTTTCATTGTCATTTGTTTCCAGAATGCTTTTATTTCTCCTTTGATCTCTTTGGTAACCCAGTCATTGTTTAATAGCATGCTATTTATCCTCCAAGCGTTTGATTTTTTTCATTGTTTTTATTGTAGTTGATTTCTAGTTTTATGCCATTGTGATCTGAGAAGATGCTTGTTATGATTTCTATCCTCTTGAATTTGAAGAGACTTTGCCTGTGGCCTAATATGTGGTCTATCTTTGAAAATGTCCCTTGTGCACTGGAGAAGAATGTATATTCTGTGGCTTTGGGGTGAAATATTCTGAAGATGTCCATTAAGTCCATTCTGATCTAGTGAGTCATTTAGGATTTTTTTTTTTTTTTTTTTTTTTTTTTTGCTGATTTTTTGTTTAGAGGATTTATCCAGTGGTGTCAGTGGGGTATTAAAGTTTCCTACTCTGACTGTATTGTTATCAGTCTCTCCCTTGATATCTTCCAGAAGTTGTTTTATGTATTTGGGTGCTCCTGTATTGGTGCATATATGTTTACCAGAGTTATATCTTCTTGTTGAATTGCTCCCTTTAGTATTAAGGCCTTCCTTATCTCTTGTTATAGCCTTTACTTTGAGGTCTATTTTGTCAGATATAAGTACTGCAACCCCAACTTTTTTTTTTCATTTCTATTTGCCTGAATTTTTTTTTCCCATCCATTCACTATCACTCTGTGTGAATCCTTTGTTCTGAGGTGGGTCTCTTGCAGACGGCAAATATATGGGTCATGTTTTCTTATCCATTCAGCTACCCTATGTCTTTTGATTGGTGCATTTAATCCAATTACATACTTGTTTGTTGTAATTTTTAGTCTTAATGTTTGTGTTTCTTCTTGCCTTTCTGTGTCTTCCTTTATTAGCAGTCCCTTTAGCATTTCTTGCATTGTTGGTTTGGTGGTAATAAACTCTCTTAGCCCCTTTTTGTCTGTGAAGCTCCTAATTCCACCTTCAATTTTGAATGACAGCCTTGCTGGGAATAGTATTCTTGGATTCAGTCCCTTGCTTTGCATCACTTTGTATATTTCATTCCATTCCCTTCTGGCCTGGTGTGTTTCTGTTGAAAAATCAGTTGATATTTTAATAGGGGCTCCCTTGTAAGTAATTTTCTGTCTCTCTCTGGCAGCATTTAAGATTCTTACTTTCTTGTGGGTGTTTGCCAATTTAATTATGATGTGTCTTGGTGTTGGTCTTTTGGGGTTCATCTTTTTGGGGACTCTACGTGCTTCTTGGACTTGCATAGTATGTTTCTTGACAATATCAGGGAAGTTTTCTGTCATTATTTCTTCAAACAGGTTTTCTATTCCTTGCTTCTCTTTCTCTCCTTCTGGTACCCCTATTATGCACATATTGTTGCATTTTGTGTTGTCCCAAAGCTCCCTTAGGCACTCCTCTTGCTTTTTAAACCTTCTTTCCAGTTGCTGCTGTGCTTGTGTATTTTTTCTTACCTTGTCTTCTAATTCGCTGATGCGGTACCCAACATCTTGTAGTCTACTATTTAAACCTTCCATTGTGTTCTTTATTGCAACTATGTCATTCTTCATCTCCTCTTGGTTCCTTTTCATGTTGGTGACATTCTCATTCACTCCTTATAATTCTCATTGAGTTGTGTGTATTTGTCATCCAGCCATTTGAGCATCCTTATAATCATTACTCTGAATTCTTTCTCTGATATGTTGCTAGCCTCAGTTTCATTTAACTCCCTTTCTGGTGATTCTTCTTTTTCTTTCCTTTGGAGATTGCTTTTTTATCTTCCCATGTTTTGCTGTAATGTTTTAATTGTAGATCTGATTGCTTTGCTACCCAGGTTCTCTTGGGGATGATGCTACTGGTGTGACCTCTCACGTCTCCTGGGCTTGGTAATCTAGTGTAGCTCCCTACTTGAGCTATTTGGGTTCCCTTGATGTAGGCCTGTGAGCTGGAAAGGCACAACTGAGGTGTCTAGAAATCAGCAGCAGCCGTGGAGGGGGGTGTCCAAATTTTTGCTGTCTTATGCCCTTGGTTGAAGTTGTGTGTGCCCAATGGGGATTCACAGTGGCACCCAGGAACCGTCTGTTGGGGTGATGGGGCTCAGGAGGTCTGCGCTCTGGTAAGGCGTGACTATGGTGTCCAGAGTTCTGTAGTTGTAGGGTGGGCAGACTCAGCTTTTGCTGCTGCTTCTGTGGTTGGATACACATGCCCCCAGTGGCAGCTCACAGAGCACCCATGGTGCATTTGCCAGCAGGGTGTACTGACACACTCTGAAGGGCCTTGGCGCTGAAGCCACAGAATTTCAGTGTCTGTGGGCATGTACCCCAGAAGAGGGAATTCAGCATTTCTACAGCCCAACAGTGCACCCCTGTTTGCATAAGTGCATGCCCAGCGGGGGCTCACAGAGGCACCCAAGGGCTGCCTATGCCACAGTGGGCTTGGGAGGCTTGCGTGCTGGAAAACCATGCCCCTGTAGGGTCCAGAGTTCTGCAGCTGTGGGGCGGGCAGGCTCAGTGTTTGCTGCTGCACCTGTGGTGGATAGGCGCGAGCTCCCAGGGGCAGCTCACAGGGGCACCAGCGGTGCGTTTGCCGGCGTGGTGTGCTGAAGTGCTCTGAAGGGCCCTGGCACTGAAGCCACATAATTGAGGAGTCTGTGGGCAGGTATTCAGGATGAGTGAATTCAGAATTTCTACTGCTGGGGTAGGGGGGTGTGGGGGAGTGTGTCCCTGTTTGTCCAAGATTGCACCTAGTGGGGGCTCGCAGGGCTCCCATGAGTGTCCTGTGGATAGATGGCTCTGGGTGCCTGCTTGTTGGAAATGCACGACTGTGGCAGTGCCTTTGCTGGCGCAGAGCTCTGACGCACTCTGAGGGCCCTGGTGCTAAAGATGTGCAGCAGGGTTGTCTGTGGCAGTTATTCAGGAAGAGGGAATTTGGAATTTCTACTGTGGGGCAGTGCGCCCTTGTCTGTTCAAAATCACACCCAGCAGGGGCTCACAGCAGCATCCAAGAGCGGCCTGTGGAGTGGTGGGCTCAGAGGCCTGTGTGCTGGAGGTTTGCCACTGGGAGGGGGCGGCTGCACTTACTGCTGTGGGAGCAGTGCACCTTTGGAGGTGGAGGTCCCAGGGTCCTCAGGTCTGCGGGTGGGGCAGCAGGATTTTGGCTGGAGTGGCTGCCTGGTCGGGGGCCACTGTCTGGGTGGTGGTGCTGATGAGTTCCTAGAAGAGGCCTCTCTCCCCTTCAAGATGGCGTGGGTTCCATGCCCGAGCCCCGCAGTGCAGGGGATGCCCGCAGTGGTGGTAGTCTCTCCCTGTCCCAGAGAGCCTGGTCCGCCAGCCCCTGCTGTTCCTGCCAGATTTAACCCTCACTCACACACACACCACACACTCCCCTTTCACCCCCTCACTCGCTCACTTCCTCTCCCTCACCTCTGTCCTGCCAGCTGCCATCTTCTAGTCTCCAGTATCAACTAATTTTCAAAAGGGCATTATCAGAACCAAATTCCTTCCTTATTTATTTTTATTTGTTTATTTTTATTTCTTTTTTATTGTTGACACCATTCCCCGTTTCTCCCCACCCCACCTTTGCCCACTGGCACCAGCTCCCAGCACCCCTCACAGGCCTTCCCCTTCCATTGTCTGTGCCTATGGCTACCATATGGGTGCTTTTTGGCTACTCTCTTTACATGCGCTCGTCAGTCCCCTCCCCTGACCTCAGTCTGTTCTGTGCTTCCATTTTGACCATCAGTTTATTTTGCTCATTAGATCCCACACATGAGTGAGATCATAAGGTGTTTGTCTTTCTCTGACTGGCTTACTTCACTTAGCATCATCCTCTCCAGGTCCATGCACTTTAAAAACAACTGTGTTTTTTTTTTAAATGAAGGCTGGTTTGGTCAGAGCACTGGGGTCCCTGTGTGGTTTGAGGGAACAGAGGAAAACGTGAAGTGTGAGCACTGGCTCGGGCTCCGGTGCAGAGCTGAGGGAAAGGCAATGGGCATCTTTCTAACCAGCACTTACATGCTCAGCAAACAGCATGAGCTGACTGTGCACGTCATTCAACGACATTATTCAGACATTTCACTGCTGTGGACCGTGCATGATGGATGTGCACGGATGTGATCACATGAGCCTGTCTCCCCACTTTCTCCCGAGAGCTACCCCGTTTGCTCTGCCTCGGCCTCAGTACCTTAACCATGGGGTGCGCAGAGACTCCATTTGAAAGCTCATCTTTGCACCTTACGAATGCTTCTCTCCTAGTCATACTTTAAATTCACTGGCACCATATGTAACTTTGTTATTTTTTAATTACATAATTTTTGTTCTTTCTTTTGTCCTTCTATTCTTGTGTTGTTGCCCATATTGCGATTCCTATAATCAGGATACTGATACCCCACCTAGCGGTCTCTTGCCACAATACAGCATTTGTTTTCACATTTCTATTAGAAACAGTTCATATTTTAAATAATAATTATTTTGTTGAAGCAACCAGTACTTGGTTTTAAACAGTGCAGCTCGTAGTTGGCTGTTTGGTGAGATGTAGATGCTAGTGAAGCTGATGAATAAAATGGACGTAGAAAAGCCATTGGCCCTTCTGCCCAAAAGGAGACACCGCTTTGGGAAACACATTAAGTGAGCAGGGACGGTAACATTCTCCTACAGGTACCTCAAGGGCCAGACAATCACCTACTTTTTAAAGGTTAATGCCACTCAAGTTGGTAAATTGGTTATATTTATAGACTTCACTAAGCCGATGAGCCTACTATACACGCAGCTGTTCCTGGGTAAGAAAGAACACTCTATTGATCATGTAAGATGCTCAGGCCCCGAACGGACGCCAGCCCAGATTGCTCAGTGGGACCTTGGGAGGTCAGTTCAGTTTTGCCTATTTACAGACTTAAAAGCTGAAACGTAGGTTAAGTGACTTTATGAGGAGACAGCACCAGTCAGCGGCTGAGTCCAGATCCACATCCAATTCTACTGGGCTTGAATCCGATTCTCTTTTCCTTATATCACGTCACACTTGGACGTGCGCCCAGAATCCCAATATCTGCCCAGGGTGACAGGCACCCGTCTTACCCAGCTCCACTTCCAGGGTGTCCTGGGCCGGCTCCAGGATGTCCGGCTTGAGAGTGGTGTTTCTCACTGAGGAGGAAAAGAAGAAGCATGGTGTGCAGGGGAAGCTGCAGCCTGCGTGCTGAGCCTCTGCACGCGTGGTCACACTGAAAGCTAAATATTTTGGAGCTGCCTCTGCAGATTTTATTCACATTCCCGAGGTTAGGACTCGGTTCCATGTGAAAAGCAAGCTTCCACAATGACTGTGACATCGGGGTGCAGGTGCTGGCAAAAGAGTAGTTTTTTATAAATCCATGTCTGCCTGCCTGTGTGAAATTTTCTTGCAGGCCACGGGGTGAGGCTACATACTGGGATGAGTGAGCAGGCTGTGCAGACTGTGCTGTGCTGTGCTGTGCAGGCCCTACAGGCTGTACTCTCCTCAGTACATTACCAAAGCTTACCCAGTTGTCCAACTTGGAACCTAGCTCTCATCCTTTCCTCTCTCCTTCACTCACCATTTCCAATTCCTCTCAGATATGTCCCTTAAATATTGAGTCCATTTGCTTCTCCCCGTCCTTAGGGCCATCCTAGTTCCCCCTGCATCAGCCATGCCTGCTTGACTGTGGCAGCCTCCTAATTCTTCTCCCGTCTCCATTCTCCCACCCACAAACCCATTTTCTACACAGTGGACAGTAACCTATGTCCAATGCAAATCTGTTCCTGACCCTCTTCTGCCCAGAACCCTCCATGGCTCCCTGCTGTTCCTCAGATGAAGTCCGTGCTCACTGGGACAGTGTCTGTCAGTCTCGTTTGCACACACTCACCCTGTACTGCTCCTGGCTCTTCCTGGGCCGCAGGGTCTCCCCACACTGCCTGCGCGCTCCCTCTGCCAGAACGGCATCTTTCTCGCCTCCATTGGCTAATTGGTTCCCATCCCAGTTCTCGCTTTGGGCTCAGGATACCCAGGTCTAGGTTTTGTGCCCACTTTTTCTCCACTCCTCACAATGTATTGTCATAGCCTGTTCCTTCCCTTGGGACCCACAGAATGCTCAGTGCTGGGAGGCCAGAGGAAATGTGCAGGTACTGTTTTCACAGCCACAGCACCAAGCCCAGTGCCTGACACATCCTAGATTTTCAGCAGATATTTGTGTGAGAATGAACAAATAAACGAATGAGTAAACGAGGAAGATGTAACGACAGACTAGGCTTGAATGAACGAGATGCCACAGGTGATCCAAGGAGTCCTTGGGGCAGAGAAAGCCGGTCTGCCCCTGGGGACCGACGGGCGAGGGGCTAGGCCTGTGGGAAGGACAGCCGCGGGCCACCTGGAGGGGCAAGTGGTGCCAGCGGGGCTTTTGCATCTGTCTCCTTCTGCAAGGAGCGGTCTCTCGGTGTGGACCTGCTCAGGCCTGAGGCAGCAGGTGCAGGGCCAGGCTGCCCGTGTGGTTTGTGGCTCAGTTACAGGAGAGGAGGCAAAACTAAGAAATATGTTTCCAAGAGATAAATCCGCTACCCTGTAGCTGTTCAATACAAGACATGGATGACTGCCTCTGTAATGCTTTGACATCACCATGCTTACATTAATGACTACTTTATTCGTGCCGACACCTGTAAATCCAGTGGGCTGATCCAGGGGAGAGACTGGGCCAACACATAGAGAACTGTCAGAAGAATCAGCCCAATGGGCCATAAACACAACCAGATGCTCAACTTCACTAGGACTCAGGGAAAGGTAAATTGATATAAATGAAAAAGACCCCACTTGGCACCAATAAAAATAAAGTCTGAAGACACCAAGAATAATGTAGGAATAATAGGAATCTATTCACTGATGATGAAACTGGCAAAGCAATACCTTAGAATAACATCATGTGCTTAATAACACAAATCACATTCTATAACATAGAACATTATTCTATTTATGAATGGACACATACATATGTAAAAAAGGCATAAATAGAAAGGATATCCTATATAATAAAAAGCTAATATGCAAATCAACAGAAAGGTGGAACAACCAGTTGCTATGACATGCACTGACCACTAGGGGGCAGTGCTCAATGCAGAAGATGCCCCCTGGTGGTCAGTGCGCTCCCACAGGGGGAGCGCCACTCAGCCAAAAGCTGGGCTCTTGGCTGGCGAGCATAGTGGCCGTGGCAGGAGCCTCTCCCGCACCCGTGGCAACACTGAGGTTGTCTGACTGACTGCTCAGGCCCACTCCCTAAGCTGTCAGTCGGACATCCCCCGAGGGTTTCTGGAATGTGAGAGGGTGCAGGCTGAGCTGAGGGCCCCTCCCCTACAAGTGCACAAATTTTGTGCACTGGGCCTCTAGTACACTATAATACTAAACTACATCTGGGAAGGCAGGAGAAAGGGAAGAGATGATGGCATGGGCCTCGAGCTGTATCTGTAATGTTTTGTTTCTTTAAATAAAAAGCAAGATTTTAAGCCTGTGGAAAAATATCCACAGTATTAAAGCTGGTAATAGGTATGTGGATGCCAGCTATTTCCGTGTGTGAATTATTGATATCATTTTAAAATTTATTATAGAAACAAACCAGGGATAAATGCATGGAAAACCCAACTTGGGACAACTTGGATATGCGCCTTCCCTGCAGAATGACTCTAGGTTAATGGGAATACTGATGTTTGCTGATATTCAAGGCTTTCCCCAACAACACTATATGTCTATCTTATTTGTTATCCAAAAAGGAAAACATCACGAAACCTCAGGAAAATGACTGGGTAGTTGGGATTCGAACATGAAATCTTGAAACCAAGATGTCACTTACCAATGGTTTTCACTTGGACAACGGCTCTGACTGTGCGGGACCCTGCGCCGTCGGCCTGCATGTAGTCGCAGGCGTACGTGCCCTCGTGGTAGTCATAGATCACGGCCAGCGGCAGCGGGTTGCTCCTCTGCGCAGAGAGCAGTCTTCCATTCTAGTCCGAGAGACAGAAAGGCAAGTGAAGCTCTTTCTCCGGGGACTGTCTTGTACTAATTGCCCCTTTCAGAGACCTTCACAAGTGCGAACCCGGAAGGGGACAGCCAGCCTGAGATGAGGACACGACAGTCATCCCCGGAGGGAGGAAGAGGTTCTATTCAAAAGTTGTCTTTGCAAAGTTCTTTCTTAAAATAAGAGGCGTCTTAAATACCATCACTTTGTGCATGGAGATCAGGCGCCCAATCTCGTCAACCCACGAAGAAGTATTTCATTTATTATTTTCCAAAGCATGACTCAGCCCCGCACGGCGCAGCGCCCCCCGCTGCGAGCTCAGACCTCCGTCATTGCGTCGGTGCACCCCTGGACTTAGTGCGGTGTTCGGTGTGTAGGTCACTCCTTCTCCGGGGTCGTCCAGAGCAGCCTTTGTGCCAAGTCATAGGCCAGGTCCTGGACACTCCGGGAATCAGCCCGGCCTCTCTCTTGGGCGCGCAGTGTAAGGACGCAGGCTTGTCTCCGCCAGCGGTAGACGCCCCCCAGGCCATGACTCTGCTGATAGGAGGCAGGCCTGCCCTCCAGTGCAAGCAGCGCTCTGAAGAAGGTGCAGGAATCAGGCGGGGAAGGGAAGTGTCATTTAAGAAGCTTGAAGCAAAGCATCCATGCAGGAAGCAAGGCCCAGCTGTGTTTGACCTCTGGGCTCCGGCCCCCAGCAGGCAGGCAGGCGGCTGCCCTCTGCAGAGGGAGAGTGAGTGAGTGCGTGCACAATTGAACAGAAGGTTGTGAAGCATAAGAGTCATATTATTAGACTTTTTTTAGTGGCAACTCAGTGTGAGAGCGCCTACCAATTTAAGCAAAGACTATCATAATCACTTCTGCACCATGAGGGACTGGGGCGCGGCAGGACTGTGAGCCTCTGGTAGATGGTTATCACTGTGCAATGACAAGGGGCTCCTGCCTCCACGTGGCCCTTGGCCTCCAAGTTCCAGCCAAGAGTTCCAGGAGCAGCCCTCTCACCACTGCAGCCGAGGAAAAGAGATCAACAGCAAAGAACAATAGGAAGAGCCTCTTATCCGGGTCGCTTGCCAAGTGTTTGATCAGGTCTCAGCTCACCGGACTGCTCAGAGGCCTCTCCGGCTGGGTTTGCATAGACTGTTTTCCATTTTACAGGTGGGCAGCCTGAGCTCCCGGGCTTTGTCTTCTGCTCTGTGACACAGGCTAGTCAGTGAGAGCACTGGAAATTTATCTAAATTATTCTGACTTTGAGTTTCCAGTTCTGATGGAGGAATTCCCCTTCCACCCTGCCTGCTGACCTGTAGAGTCAGGGATTCCCCACTCCACGTCTCTAGTGTGGTTCCTGTGGCTCAAGAGGAATTTCCAGGAGATTGACAAGCAGCTGAGGGTTGGGGGGCAGAACTGGTTGGCGGGGCAGCTGCCGTGTGAAGGGAACCAAGGCCAAGTAGTGGGACAGACAAGGTTAAACAACCCATCGGCTGATCTCAAGGATCAAGAACCCTTTAAAAGGAAGGTTCAGAGCATGGGACAAAAGTCAGAGACAGAATTCTGTACAGTGACACATAAAAGGACAGAAATTAGAGTGGAGGTCATAAATCACATGAGAAGACAGGCAATAAATCACATGGGAAGGCAGAGTTAGAACTAAGACGTTGGCTGAGCAACAGGGAAGATGAGTGATAACAAAGTGGACCTAATCCTATATAATAAAAGGGTAATATGCAAATAAACCGAACGGCAGAACGACCGGTCGCTATGACATGCACTGACCACCAGGGGGCAGATGCTCAACGCAGGAGCTTCCCCAGCCTGGAGTCCCTGATCGCCCAATCAGGGCCTGCTGGCCAACCTCTCAGTCCCTCTCCCAGCAGGCAGGCTCTAATTGCCTGGTGGGGAATGGGGCACTGGGGGTGGGTGGCTGCAGATACCAGTGGTGCCAGGCCAAGGCCCCCACCCTGCTGGTCGCACCACACAGAGGGTGACCAGCACTGGGAGACAGAGCTGGCAAGTGGGTGGGAACGGCCAACCTCTTGGTCCCTCCCCCTTCCCCTCCTCCTCCCTCCCCCCAGCCAGTAGGTTCCTATTGCCCAATGGTGAACAGGAAACTAGGGGTGGGTGGTGCGGGGGGGCTGGGCTGGCTGCCAGCAGCTGGGGAAGATGGCCCTGATTGCAGGCCAAGCCTAGGGACCATACCCGTGCACGAATTTCCTGCACCAGGCCTCTAGTTTTTCCCATAAAAATGTAAGCATGGCTCAGTATGTACCATTAAGATTTTATGAGGTGGAAATAAAAGGAACATCAAAGACAAGAGATAAGAGATAAGCAATTTGTGCTAAGAACGATGGAAACCCCGTTCTAATAATACAATCACAAATTATTTAGGTGGGAAACAGAGGGGCTAGTGGGGCTGTACAGGGAATGCTTTGTTTTGCTCAGAGGTAAAGAAATACACAGATACAAAGGAGCAGCACCCCAATGAGACCTGTGCGGAGAGTGTCGGGGAGTCCTGGAGAGAGCTGAGGCACGAAGAAAAAGCTGAGGGCACAAAAGGCCCCTTTATTTTATTTACTTATTTTTAATCCTCACCTGGGAATGTTTTTAAATTGGTTTTAGAGAGAGAGGAGGAGAGGGAGAGAGCCATCGATGTGAAAGAGAAGCATTGATTGGCTGCCTCCGGTATTTGCCCTGAGCAGGGATCAAACCCAGAACCTTTTGGTGTATGGGATGGCACACCAGCCAACTGTGCGACCTGCCAGGGCAAAGGACTCTTAAAGGAATGTGTGAGGCAAGGAGACGAACAAAGCAAAGAGAGCGCGCCCCTCGGAGCGTTCACTGTTCTGCTCTGATGTCACCAGCCTGCTGTGCTGCGGGCAGAGCTGCCACTCCAGCGAGCACCACACACCATGCGCTGTCTGTGTGGAGGGCGCGCCCTGGAGCTGGCCACACAGCATTCCTGCCTGGGCTTTTGCTGCTCGTCTGGGACTACATCTCAAGCCCTGTCTCCCGGGGGGCCCGGTGTTTTCACATCTGTTTAATGACTCAGTGTCCAGCTCACCTCTTCTCACCCCTAATTGCATTAGTGGCTACTTTCTCCAGTTTGGCAAATGCTGTGAGTTTACTTTGAGCCATAAAGTCCCCAAATGTGATAGTCACCACTTTCACATCCTCCAGTTAAATCATTTTATCTTTTATTTTATTTCTTGAAAATATCTGTAGGGTCTACCATCTTCTTTCTATTCCCACAGGGTCCCGGGTCAGGACTTATACTTGTAAAGTTCAAACACACCAACAGGGACCTAACAACCTACCACGTACCCAGCCTGCCGCCTGTGCACACAGTCCACCCTGACTCCACCAGGCACGACCTCTGCCCGCTGAGCCGAGCGCTCCCAGCACGCAGCGTGCCTGCAGCTCCTGTTCCCAGCGTCCATCCCCCACTCCCTGCCGAGGGTTGCTGTGCCGTCCCTTGTTGCAATCAACTGACAACATTCCATTTATACACACATTTTGCTCTAATATTTATCTTTTAATGGTAATAAAGGTATGTATGGGGAGCAATTCCACCTGGACTCAGGACACCTGCGTTAGTGCCATCTGCTCTGCCTGAGGACCTGTGGGTTTGTATGAGAGAAAGGGGCACTGGGTGCTATTTCCTGCCTAATATCATCGCTTTTAGTAACACACTGCGCCCATGAGGTCTGTGGGTCTCCAGGTGTGCATGTGTCTGTGTGCATGTGCGTGTATGTACTGCACACGCACACGCACAGACCTACACACACACACGTAATGCATAAACATAGCCTAAACCATGCCTCTCCAAAGCCGCATCAGAAGCTACGACTGCAGAGCAGCATCGTTTAACTGCGTTTGGAACAGATGCCTTTCCCACTGACACCTCTGACACATGCAGCCAGAGCCCGGAGAAGGGAATGAGCTTCCTTAGCAACCGCCAGGCAGCCTTGGGGTTTCGCTGACGAGAGCGATGTGTGCAGAAAGTCGGCAGCCGCTCTGGCTCGTGCTCACCTACAGGTGAAAATGGCCTTTCATTGCCGGGTGTGCCCTTCCACCTGAACAGCTGGGGCAAGCCTCTCCCCGGGGCTGGGAGCAGCCCCCTGGGCAGAGCAAGGCCTCCACCCTCCGACTGCAACACTCATCAGCCAGGGGAGTGTCGTTCTTAAGAGAGCTGAAGAGGATGAACAGAACCATGGACTCCTTACTAACCTCATCTCAGAGGCTGTGAAATGAATGTGCCCCAAACTGGGCATTTTTGAAGCCAGCACGCTTTCAGTGTCACTTTAAAATACAAATGTGAAACTTTAGACACATCACTCATCATCCCCGAGTAGTTATTTCTACAAAGGACATAAAGCACCTGGCCACCTGCTGTCCCCAAGGCTCAGAAGAGCCGAGTGGAAAACACTCTCCCCCCAGCAGCACCCCCTCCCCCACGCCTCTGCTGTGGGGTCTGGAAGTGCACGGGACCACTCAGCAAGCAGGCTGCCTGCTGGGCATCAATCAGTGGCAAGTTAAAATGATGTTTTATATTAACAAACGAACATATTTTGAAGTCAAATTTAAAGTTTTACACAATTTTTGACAAAGTACTGGACTTTAAACAATTATCGTCAGTGTAGTGGCATTTAAATTCTATTCCCTGATTCCGCTGTCCAGGGGCCAACTGGCAGAGGGCTTTGGAGGTGATGCTCGGAGCATTGGCATAGATTGTGGCACTCGGTAACCCATAAGCACAAGGAAAATGCCAGGTGTTTGCTATGTGGTTTATAACTCAAACCCATTACAGAACTTACCTTGCCTGGCCATTCCCTTCTCTTAGCACTGCACTCCCGTCTCCTGGTCTCGCCTGTCACTCAGGGCCTCGCAGAGGTGCCCACTCAGGAAAGTGTTCTACGCTCCGATTGACCAGAGACCTTCTCACTTGCTGGGTGCCCCCTCCCTGAGCAATTCTCACTGCTTTCCGAAGGCGCCCCGCCGACCGCTCTGGCGGCTGCCTTGGCGGGCGCTGTAACTACCTCTTACTTCACATGGATGTACCTGACTTTGAGACAACTTCCTGGCACAATCGAAAGGGTGGCTGGAATGGCTGGAGCGGCCGTCCTGTGGCTCCCGGCGAAGACCATGTTAGAAAGTCAGTCTTTTCTGTGGGCACAAGGCCAGCCTTGGGGAAGCTCTGGACCTGAGATCCTCAAACCCACGATTCTACAGACTGATGCTGCCATTAGAAACCACATCTTGCATGAGTTTTGGAAAAGTCACTCTTACCTGGTACCAGGTCATCTCTGGACTCGGGGTGCCACCCTGGCAGCCAAGGCTGGGGCAGTGAATGGCGTCGGTGCTGCCCAGACGGAGGTAGCGCGTCCGCGGCACAGGGCGTGCACAGGAGAGGTCGGCCTGGGGCTGCACTTCCAGGACCATCTTCACGCAGCACGCCTCGTCCCTGCGGCTCCTGGGAGAATCAGGAGCGTCAGCACGGCCCCGTGGACACAGGTTTGACCCAGGACCAGCGGGCTTGGGGATATTTCGGATAAGAATGCGTGTGGGACACACCTCATCCTGGGCCTACAGATATAGGAGCCAGCATGGCTCCTCTCCGCGCTCAGAAAGCGCAGGGCCGTCTTGTCCAGGAGCAGGTGGGACTGGTTGCTGGTAATTTCCTTTAAGGCGCCTCCTTCCCGAGGCTGAAGGTACCACTGGGCATCAGACAGGCCCTCAAGGCCATGGCAGGGCGGGCGCGCAGGGCCTTGGGTGGGTGAGAGCGGGTGTCTGTGGTAGGAACGGGGTTTCCGTGCCTCTGCTAAGTCACAAAATAAGACAAACTCCTCGGCGCTCTCCGCAGAGTACATCCAAAGGAAGTTTTTGATGGAGCAACCTAGAAACCACAATAGACAAGCAACACAGAAACGCATTCAAGGATGAAACTGACTTACATTTACAAAGAATAGTTGTTATTTTCCACTTCACTATCCCCGTTTTGTGGGAAAAGGAAGTTTACATGCTAACGCGCCCCCCGCCCCCGCCCCCCAGGGCACACCAGCCACTTCAGCTTAGCAGTGGGTAATATTTGATTACTATGTAATTGTATTTTGAGCAGTTACACAGCCGAGCCAGTGTATTCCTGCTCCCGCCCAACACCCACCTTAGTAACTGGGTCCCCCATCAATGCTTGGCGTCAGCTGAAAGCTGTTCACCCCAGTAATTTCTCCTTCTACAACCTCTTACTAGTAGGAAGAATGTGCTCTGTGATAGTGTGTCATGCTACTGATATATCAAATTATCTGTCACTTTAAGCTTTGACCATAAGATTCAGTGTTGACTTGAAAAGTGAACCCTACCTGAGATGTTAAACCCTTTGGTCCTCTCTCCTGTGACAAACCAAAGGAAGATCCACCCCCAAGAGAGCATCGTCCGCCCAGGGGCCGGTCCCTCAGGAGGCACTCCGTGGCGCGGGGGTGCACTGGGACTCAGAGTCCACCCCGCAAAGCCTCTTCATCGCTGAAATAAGTGGGAGATAAGAAATTGAAACTGTAATCAAAATGCAAGTCACACAGGAAGCTTCGAAAGGGCAGGTCCTTCCTAGCAAGCGGTCACATGTCCACGTGTGCATGGCATTCAGTGGGGTGTGCAGGCTGCGTGCCACCCCTGAGGCAGGGGGAGCATGGCGAGCTCATAGCACCACGGGGCCTGGCACAGGCAGTGCGCTCTCCTGACCCCATTTCCTCACAGGGTTTCCTCCCCACGTTCGCAGCTAGTGCGCACATTTCTATGAGTAATTTGGAAAGAATTAAATGAAAATTTTCCTGAAAAGAAAATGACACGTTGAGTGAAAATGTTAGACTCCCCACACTTAGGGGAGCTGGTAGAGTGCGAAGTCCGCGCTGTGAGCACATTGCTAGTGTGTGGGAACTGTAGCGCATGCAGGATGCTGGACTTTCTGTGTCGCAAATAAGAGGAAAGCGCTGCTGCTGGAGGGCATTGCTACCAATCCTCTGACTGGAAGACGAGGATAGGTCACCGCAGAGAGTGCAGGAGCCTGGGCTGTGCTCCCAGCGCTTATCCCCTTGCTGGTAGCGTGGTCATTGGAATTTTCAAATCACCTACAAGAGATGAGAGGTCAGGGCACTGGGAGGGCCCTACCATCCAGGCCGCCACAGGATGGTTGTGAAGCAGGAATGCCCTCCTCGCAGTCCTGGAGCCTGGGGCCCGCATCGCGGCGCCAGCATGCCTGGCTCTGGTGAAGGTCTCTCAGCCTGGCCTTGCTGTGACCGCGCTTGGCGGAAGGCTCGGAGCTCTCTCTGGAGTCTCTATTACAAGAACACAAATCCCATTCATGAAGGCTCTATCCTCACTATCTAAACTCCCCCTAAGGCCCCACCTCTAGTACCATCACTAGGGTATTATCTCTGAGGGTTAGGATTTCGACATATAAATTAGGAGGTTGGGGGGAACACAGACATTCAGGTCATAGCAGTGGGTAATAGTTGATTATTATTTAATTTTATGAGTGGAAAAATAAAAGTAATTTTCCTATAGAACAGTTTTCCTGTGCCTCTGAGAGTTCTGACTGTTGTCACTAACATAGAAATAAGCTGTGCATTATTCTTGGGGTTACAGACTAAGGCACTTTAACCCCGGACCTCAGCTAACATTTCTCCGAGAACACTTCAGGTGGGTGTTGGGCGGGAGCAGGAATACACTGGCTCGGCTGTGTAACTGCTCAAAATACAATTACATAATAATCAAATATTACCCACTGCTAAGCTGAAGTGGCTGGTGTGCCCTGGGGGGCGGGGGGTTGCGTTAGCCTGTTCCAGGCAATCCGGGAGGGGACACGTGTTCTCAAGGGCCTGGCAGTGTGGAGAACAATATTAAAGAAAAAATGATTTGACACTGATTAGAACAGCAAGGAAGACTTTGTTCAATATTAGTGCAGCAGAGGGAGCAGCCAAGACTAGTGCAGCGGAGAGAGCAGCCAAGACTAGTGCAGCGGAGAGAGCAGCCAAGACTAGTGCAACGGAGAGAGCAGCCAAGACTAGTGCAACGGAGAGAGCGGCCAAGACTAGTGCAGTGGAGAGAGCTGCCAAGACTAGTGCAACGGAGAGAGCGGCCAAGACTAGTGCAGTGGAGAGAGCGGCCAAGACTAGTGCAACGGAGAGAGCAGCCAAGACTAGTGCAGTGGAGAGAGCGGCCAAGACTAGTGCAATGGAGAGAGCGGCCAAGACTAGTGCAGTGGAGAGAGCGGCCAAGACTAGTGCAGTGGAGAGAGCGGCCAAGACTAGTGCAGTGGACTAGGGCCTGGGGAGAGATTAACTCAACTCAGAGCACAACAAGGACAGGTGAGGGTTTCTAGCCCAGGAGCAGGGCAAGGCCATCAGGGGATGGAAACTTACCAAGAGGAGAGATGAAAGGCTGGGGATTCTGATTAAACTGCCCTAACAGGATTCTTTCTGAAGACAGTTTAAGGACTTAGAAACAAGGGTGGGGAACAGAAACTGGATCAGATATCAAAGGAAAAATAAAGGGGGAAGTAAAAGAAGGAAGTGGGGGATAAACTATATTAAATACTATATGGCCAAGCTGAAAGTTCCCTTAAAAAATCTCCCCACGCATCTTTGATTTTTAGGAAGCTCGCAGCATCAGTCTCTCTCTGTATCCACATCTAACCAGCTATGCAGGTCTTCTGCTCAGCTTTCCTGCACTCACTGGTCCTTCCTGCAACCACTCCCTCCACCCACAACTTTCCCAGGAGCTTTCTTTCCAGGTGTCTCCATCTTTTTTCATAAAGAAATACTTGCCTTTCCTCATCTTATAAAATTCTTCCTTTTCAACCAGTTTCCAACACACACACACACACACACACACACACACACCGTGTCTCCAACATCTTGGGATGCAGAGGAGGAGGGATAACTTTAATATTTATAAATTAGTTATCAATAAGTAATGTTTCTCTAGCAGAAACAATGAGCTTGAGGTGTCTTTGGGGATCCGGTCAGAGCAGAGGAGTCTGGGGCAACAGCATGGGGGAAAGGGGCTCAAGCCAGAGAAGTCTGGAAGCTGCCAGGGAGAAGAGATGGGCTTCCCTGAGGAGCACTGGCCTGGCAGGGTGGGTCAGGGCCAAGAAAAGTTAAACAGAATATACCCCAAAAGGAAGAAAATAAAGAACAGAGCACAGGGACCACCCTGACACTGAGTGCAGGGAGAACTTGAAGGGAAGACTAGATGCCAATGGCAGCAGCTATAGAGGAATCAGACACAAAAAGACTGCAAGTGTCCACTATGTTTGGCCACCATGGGGTCAGATGAGTGCACAGGGAGGGGAGGTGATAAGTGCTGTGCTGTGAGGAGGGAGCAGGGGACAATGTGGGGAGTGGGGACGCGCCACGCCTCCCACAGGCCACACTGTGGGGAGTGGGGGGAGAGGGTGGGTCTGCTCCTCTGCTGGTGAAAGGAGAGTTGTGACAGGAGTCTCCTGTGTGGGGAGGAGCAGGCAGATAGCAGGTGAAACAGAAGTGAGAGTGATATTCATGGACCGATTTCTGAGGGGGCAGGAAGCGAGACAGCCTGGAAATCAGAGAGCCATGGGCTGGGACAGTAGGCAGACAGGCCTATCCAGCCCAGAGCTCAGGCAGGAGGCAGAGCCCTGCTGTGAGATGCTGAAAGAGGGGAGCGCTCAGCTCCCAGGAGCTTCCTGAGGGTGGAGGGCAGGAGAGGGCTGGGCAGGGCTCGAGTCACTGTGCTGTCTGTCCCCGTGGGCTGCTCTTTCTCATAAAGACTGTGGTCAAGGAAGACAGGCTAAAGCAACTGCCTTTCAAGACATGGCCTGCCCCCTCATCTTCCTTTATTTTGCCCACAAAGCCCTGAACAAATAGTCTACCCATCGCCAGCCTCTGGCGGCATTTTTCTAAAAGCAAGCGTGAGGGTGTCACTTCCATGCTGACTTCACTGGCCCTCTGCCTGCGAGGTGAAGAATCCAGTCTCAGCACCCCTGTGAAGCCCTGCATGACCTCATTTGGCTCTCATATCTGACCTGGATTTCCTCAGAGAGACCCTCCTTGGACACCTGCATGATGACATGCCCCCGCCACCCACTGCGCCTGCCTGCCAGTCAAGCTCCTGTTACTCAGGTGACATTCCTTTGTCTCAGTGACCCAGGCTCTCTCATGTACTCTTTGGGCGAGAGCTAATGTCCTTCTGTTTTATTGACAGACAAAATTTACCATGAAATAGTGGTCCCTGCTATTAATGGGTATAATAAGGGGAATTTACGTACAAATGTAGAGTCTCAGAGACACTGTCCCGTTACCACATGCTGTGGCCTCACAGAAAGAGATGAGAGCCCATCAGGGTGACTCACATGTCCGCAGGGTCTCTTCCTCAAAGCATTTTCCTGGTTCTATATGAGCTGCATGTCTTCTGTCAGAGGTTGACCCCTCAGTGGGTCAAGGCTACAACTTCAATGATATTTGGTTGATAAGGAATTAAGAATTTCACTGACCAGAGCTTTGGGTGGGAAAAAACAAAAGAGAAGAAAATGCTGGAGATGTCAGGTATCAAATTGGACAAACATCTTGAGTCTTTATCCACAATATGCTCAAAGCCCTATGAATAGATTTATGTTAGTTAGAATCACCAGTTTTTATAAACTGAAGACTCCAGACATGTAGAGATATAAATTCTGCCAGTTAGATGGCACACATATTATTACAAAACATTTTATGAGAAGGAATTGTGTTAGCAATTCATTTTGAAACTTATTTAAACTCTTTTCGCAGCTTACATTTTCTGGTTAGGAAATCTAGTGAAAAAATGTACTATTGCCTTACCTTTATTTCCTGTTCTGAAGACAAAAAAGAGGAAGGAAGTTCACATCACTTCAATGACTGCCGGCTGTTCTTTCTGAAGAACATATGAGAATACCCATCTTCAAAGATTCTCCTGTTTCTCTTCCTACTCAGACAGGTAACTGGAGAAGATGCAACAACAGTTAACTCTTACAAGTTTGGAAATACACCTGGAGAAAAAAGACAATCTTTATTATCTTGTGAGGGACCACTGACATTGTCAAATCCATGGTCACATAGAGGAAAATCAAATAACTCCCTCTATCAGTCGAAGGAAATGCCCTGAAAATGAAGCAGCTAAGACTCTTTGACACCCCTCGACTAGATGAGGTTTGCGGTTAGGCTCGGTTGAAAACTGAGTAAGCCTATTTCCTTTACAGGAATTTCCTGTAAAGCCTATTAGCACCCAATTTCTCAATTGTGGGTTTTTGTTTGTTTGTTGTTTTTGGTCTTGTACAGCTAACCTCCCAAAGGGTAACCTTGAAGATAAACGCTAAGCTCTCCTTGTGATTAGGACATAACCTGAAATCACCAAGGTTTTTTGGGTACATGTTTATGAAGATAAAGCTTCAAAATATAACACAATTAAGAACACCACGGTCCTTTGATGTGACAACTAAAATCCTTTAAGTCAGACCTTCCAGCACCCAGAGATCATGCTGGTCAGAAGAGCTTCACCTACACAGCATGGGGGCGAGCCAAGGAAACGCCCTCCTCTCATGTTCCAGTAAAGATGAGGCCTCTTTGCAGAGCCCCCGCCATTCGGGGTCACTTCTGCACACAGCTGGAGGGGAGCCTCAAGGACAGCTGGAGACCAAGTTCTCTTTGGGATGAAGGTAACATTCCTGTTTGCCTGAGGTGACTTTGGGAGGCCAGAAGACAGCATCAGCGACTGTGGCTAGAAGCACCTCAAAGCATTTCTGAGCTCGTCATGACCCTGCAGATTCCTAGAGAACACAGGTCTTTCCAGGCTGCTCCCGAGGGAGGCCAGGGAGCAGGTGAAAGGACACTTTGTGCGGGAGGCTCAGCCTCAGTGTCCTGGGAGCAGCACGGAGACCACCTGGGGGCTGGGGAGAGATCAGGTAGGATGGGGGAAAGGGCTGACATAGGGTTCCTATGACAGGTCCCAGTAACTGTTGACTTGAACTGGACTGCAGTGCAATGGGGCATGGGCTATCTTCCTGAAGATTCAGAGACTCTGGCACAGATCTTGAAGCTGAGAGTAAAGGTATTTAGAAAGATGTTTCTGAAGTAAATTTGCTCACTGGAATGGACTTGGAATCGGGTTTGCTGGAGAAGGAGTGCACTGGTCCAGGCATTGTGGACATAGTCTCCAAAAATCTGCTCCTTGTGCCAAGATGTGCAGCCTATTTCTCCTGTCCTCGAATGTAGGCAGACTGTGACTTGCTCTAACCCACTGGTTCTCAACCTTCCTGATGCCGCGACCCTTTAATACAGTTCCTCATGTTGTGGTGACCCCCAACCATAAAATTATTTTCGTTGCTACTTCATAACTGTAATTTTGCTACTGTTATGAATCGTCATGTAAATATCTGATATGCAGCATGTATTTTCATTGTTACAAATTGAACATAATTAAAGCATAGTGATTACTCACAAAAACAATATGTAATTATATATGTGTTTTCCGATGGTCTTAGGCATCCCCTGTGAAAGGGTCATTTGATCCCCAAAGGGGTCGCAACCCACAGGCTGAGAACCGCTGCTCTAACCCATGGAATGCACAGGCCGTGACGCTGTGCCAGCTCTGGACCTAGTTTCCAAAAAGTCTTCTGCTTTCATTTTCTTTCTCTCAGAAGCCAAATATTCTGTAAGCAAGCCCAAGGTAGCTATAAAAAGCAGCTGCAAAAACAGGAAGAGAAGGAGATGGAGAAGGAGAGGGAGAGGGAGAGGGAGAGAGAGAAAAGAGAAACATTGATTGGTTGCCTCTGGTATGTGCCCCAACCAAGGATCAAACCCTCAACCTTTTAGTGTACAGGACAATGCTCCAACCAACTGAGCATACTACAAATGAGGTGCTACCTCACACCTGCCAGCAAACGACAGGTGCTAGTGAGGATGTGGCAAAAGGAAACCCTCGTGCACTGCTGGTGGGAATGCAGACTGGTGCAGCCACTGTGGAGAACAATGTGGAGTTTCCTCAAAAAATTAAATATGGAACTACCATTTGACCCAGTGATCCCACTTCTAAGAATATATCCTAAGAAACCCAAAATACCAATCAGAAAGAATGTATGTACCCCTATGTTCATGGCAGCACAATTTACAATAACTAAGATCTGGAAGCAGCCCTAGTGCCCATTAGTGGATGAGTAGATAATGAAGCTGTGGTACATTTACACCATGGAATACTATGCAGCAGTAAAAAAGAAGGATGTTTTACCCTTTGAGACAGCATGGAGGGACCTGGAGAGTATCATGCTAAGTGAAATAAGTCAGTCAGAGAAAGAAAATTATCACATGATTCACTTAGATGTAGAATCTAATGAACAAAATAGGTTCAGAAACATGGAAGCATGGAAGCGACTGATGAATCGCAGAGGGAAGAGGTGGGAAAGAGATTAACCAAAGAACTTATATGCATGCTAGTGGCCTGGTGCACGAATTCATGCACATTGAAAGGAAATTAATTAGGAGAAATATTTTAATATTGCCATTTGCCCTTGCTCTATAATAGAAGTATCAATCAAATTCACAATTGACAAGGACAGATGGAAACACACATGTGCAATTGGCACCAGTGAGAGCTTTATATGTATCATGCTTTCACGAGTCAACTTAGCCTTTTATAGATATAGAATAAACTTGCTTAATTAGACCTGCTTTCTGATTTAGCTAAACTTTTTTCAGCCCAGTGAAGCACCCCATCTTCTCTTTCAGGCAATTGTCAACAACGCAGCAGTAAATATCAACACAAAGCAGATTATTATTGTAGATCACACAGGGAGAACAAAGGGTAAAATATTTAACTGCAGCAGTGTCTGACTATATTCTGCGTAGTGAGAAAACTTGAAATCATTTTCAAGGTCCATCATTTCTTACTTCTTTTCAGGCGGGTCACGTTTCTAAGCTTTCTAAATCTTTGTTTTCTGGCTAATGAAAAGAAAATAGGATTCCACTGAGTCTCCTATCTACCTACTCCAGGACTTCTGTGAGGATCAAATGAGATGAGATGTGGGAAAACTCTTCACAGACATTTGGTTAAAGTGTGAAATGTTTCCACCTGGCTATAAAGCAAGTTGTGTTCCTGGGATGAAGAAACTCCAAGGAGGCTAGTGGCTAGGGAGAGGAAGGTGGGTGTTGCTACGTGACATCATTACCTGGATGGTTGGACACTTAGCATATTAGCCTTCTATATATATATAGATATGCATAACCCAGGGACATGGACAATAGTGCAGCAAAGGCCTGGAGCGGGGCAGGAGATCTTATGTCTCTGGACCTATTTTGTTTGTCAGTTTATCTTGTTCATTAGATTCTACATATGAGTGAATCATGTGATATTTTACTTTCAATGTGGGGGAAAAGGGGCACATCTGTAATACTTTCAACAATAAAGATAAATTTAAAAACAAGCAAACATATCCTCAGGTGAGGATTTTAAAAAAGAGACCATTCTGTGAATTCATGTCCAATCATTTTATGTGTGTCTATTATTGTATCAGAAAAGTGATAGAGGGTAAATAAAACACAGTTTCTTCCTTCAAAGAGATTATATTTGGGGGGATAGATAAATGATTTCAGATAAATAATTACAATAATAACTCCTATCTAACAAACATTTGCTAAACATCTATTATATGCAAGGTCTTTTGCTAGTAACTGTCATTGTGCATTTCCCTTCAGGCATGACTAGTTTAGTAGGACAGAGAGGGGTTGGATACTTAAAGATCCTTTCTTGTGTGGTAAATGCCAGCAAGGTATGTCCAGCAGATCATGGGGAGGGGCTTCTGTTTGGCCCTGAGACCGACTCTGGAAGATAATTCACAAATTTCCATTAATTTTTTCTCTAAACTCCAGTGTAGAGATGGTAATATCTTCAATCTCTTCCATAGACATTCATTTACTTACCTTCCCCCACCAACTGCTGTTGGACTTTCCCCACAACAGTTTCTTTTAAAATGATGGTTGTTTTCTTTAATTAAATCTTTATTGTTCAGATTATTACAGTTGTTCCTCTTTTTTCCACCCATAGCTCCCTTTCATCCAGTTCCCATCCCACCCTCCGCCCTCATCCCCACTGGATACACTGGCTCTTGGATCTCTAAGGAGGTGCTAATTTAGCCTCTTCCCGAGGCTACCCAGCAGGAGCTACAAAGAGATCTGCAGATTCCCCTTCCTTGTTTGGGGTTTGGAGGTGCCCAAATGAGGCCCAGCTGTGAAGCAATGCAAGCTGCTGTGGGGCTTTGGGCCTTCTCTTGGAAGTTCTGTGTCTGTCTGACCCAGCTGCAGTTTTTTAGGTAATTTTCAGATTGCAAAGGGCCAGGGCGTTCATATGCAAAAGCCTCTGCTGCAGCTTGGGTGGGGCAGGGTCTCAGGGAATCAACAGGGTGGAGCAAGCAGCTATGGCTGATCCTCAGCCCTGCCCTAAGGGACCCCATGTCTCAGTGTCCCAGTAATTGCTGAGGGAAAGCTGCCCTCAAGTTTCGAGTTCTGCCTGCTGCCAGACAATCCAGTCTCTCCCTGTATGAGTCTGGGTCCCCAGAGACTCACCCGGAACTGGAGTTCAGAGCAGTAGGGGGCTTGTGACTCCCTCCCAATTCAAAAAGACAGCCACGTCCTCAGTCGCTAGCCCCTGCCGCGTGCACCACAGTACCTCTGCACTTCCGCAGCTCCTCTGAGTCTCAGTGTGCTTTTCTCTTTCCTTCTAGTTGTAGAATTTCCACTCAGCCAGCCTTCCTGTGGTTCTGGATGATGTCCGTTTTGTCTTTTAGTTGTATTTTTTAATTTGTTGTGGGAGGCAGCAATTTCTGGTGTTTACCTATGTTGCCATCTTGGTTTCCTAAAATGATGGTTGTTTTCTTTCTCTCTTCGAACCATTGATTTCTCAGACATTATACCTCCCTCCTCCCTAAAAATCCCCAACTTCGAATAGCATGGCCTTATACTATAACATCACCCATGACCCGCTTCTCTGAGGCTGTTCACAAAGCCTGGGTCACCCTACTTTGTTCCCTGGAGACATTAGCACCCTACTCACTCTTACTCTCCTCAGAGCTCTTCCTGTTCTGATTCTTGCTAATGTTAGTATTCACACAAATGATCCATGGAACATCTCATTTCCCTCTTCAAAATGTCTTGTTCTCCACCTCGACCTCAGACATTTGTTCCTTTGGTCACAGCATAGACTCATTATTACTAATCATTGCCAAACCTCCATAACCTGCATTTCAAGTGTCCCTCTCCCTGATACTTACCTCTTATCAGCTTACTCCC